ATAAAAATATCTGATATTTTTTATGCGTTATGTTATTTCAACGCATTTGCAGTCAGACATTCTGTTTTACCACATTTCGAGCTCGACTGTTGTTGTACAGAGACGTATATGTTCGCCATTTAGTTTTACATTGCCAATACATTTCCCTCTGGATATTTCTGTTTTGTTTATTTTTTGTTGTTTGTTAACATATCTGCCTATCTTTTTGCATTGCCTCTGCACCTTTCGTATGGACTATATACTATGTACAGTGGCAATGTGTTAATATAGGCAGACGTGTTGACAAATAACGGTAAATAAACAAAACAACAACAGCCGAGCTCGAAATGTAGCAAAATGAAATGACTGACTGCAAAAGTATTGAAATAACGTAACGCATAAAAAATATCAGATATTTTTATGCGATATTTCTATCCCATATGAATAAAAATATACCATAGTATTCTCTGGTAATTACATCAATAATATTTTTTTCACCAAAAATTTATCATTCTGGAAAAATGTCTCATAAACACTTGAAATGAACTTTTAAGCACTATTTTCCAGCGTAAAATCTAATATGGTCGTACGAATCGATTAATGAGTGCATGTAAATCGCGGTTGACTTTATTGCCTTTGAATCGAATCTTTGTATGGAAACAATTCATTGGTGTTCGATTCAGCAGGCCAATTCGAATAATTTAAATTGATAGCAGGGCGTGATCTTCTGTTTCAGAAAATGTGCCAAAAATGAAAAAAAAGATACGTGACAGCGTTGAAAATATAATAATATATGTTTCGCTACTGGAAATTAAAATCAATTACACTTTTCGGTGTGTTCAAAGCATCACAAGCTTCTCAATAAAAATGTTAGTAGCGAATAATTACAATCAATGTTTCACCGTTCCAATAAACGGTATCACTTGTTATTCGCTTGCATCTGATCGCCGTTAACCCATTAACGAAAAATCGACCAGAGAATTTTGCTATTTCGCTCATATATCTAACTCCGCCCCCAGATTAGGAATTCGTTTACTTTTTTTTTAAATTGTTGTTCGAGACGAGTAATATCCGATGAGAATAATAGAAAATCAAAAAATTAATTTCAAATTGGTCGGACGAAAAAACCTGTTTGGACCCTTTGTTGAACCCACTGCCAATAAAAATTGAATAATATTCTATGATGTAGAATTCTCATAACAAGTCCATATTTTTTAATGGAATAACAAAGTCGGGCTTTATTTCCACTTTTACGTATGTAATACAAATGCAAAAATGGGTGGTCGATTTTTCCTGCGTGACCACAGAAAACAAAACGAACAATTATTTTGGTCAAAACGGGAAAAAAAATTTGGAACTTTTTAAAAATTTGCGAATTTTTAATCATCTTAACAGAAAACTCGACCACTACATTTCTGCTCGTATAAAAATAATTTGATTAAAATCTATCGATCTGCGAAGTCGACTGTTATTTTTAGACCCAAATGGATAATATTTGTAAGTATCACACGAGTCAAAAACAAAATAAGAATCCTGTTCGTCAATGGGTTAAATATTGACAAGGAATTTAAGAGACCAATTTCTCTTATTACCAATTGGGTTTTCCAATCGCTTCTTCGTTCGTTGCAGGCTCAATCAAATAGCCATCAGCACTTTTATTTCACGATAAAAGGCGTTGTGCTGTTTCTATTCTATCTCATTGGGAATTTTCTCTCTCGGCCTTTCTAAGAAACATCGCTATATTGTAGGAAAAAGTAATTCCGATTGCACCGGAATATAGTATGTCAATAGGGAACACGATTGATGGATTAAATTCAAATACAACTAAGAGCAAACTTTGATCGTGCTCAGAGAAAATTTAGCGGAAGAATGATTCCGATTTATCGGTATTAAAACCAATCGGAATGATAAATCGGAATAAATGTTCCGAGATTCCGATTTATCGGTATTCTTCAATGCAAATTACTTATTTAAAAATAAAATGGTTGGAAAATTTCCGGAAAAGCGCTACTGTGGAAAATCGGGAAATCTGAGAAAATTCAGACCAGTCCTAATCGATCGGGCAGGTAAATGAGATAAATGAAAAAATTCGCACGGCAAGTTTTTTCCATATATCTGAGAAATGGATGGTTTTTTCGCTTGAAAATCGACCTTCGGGTCGCCACCTCACATGAAATTTAGCGCCCGATCGATTGAGACTGGTCTGAATTTTCTCCGATTTTCCACAGTAGCGCTTTTCCGAAAATTTTCCAACCAAATTTTTTTAATGACTAATTTGCATTGAAGAATACCGATAAATCGGAATCTCGGAACATATATTCCGATTTATCATTCCGATTGGTTTTAATACCGATAAATCGGAATCATTCTTCCGCTAAATTGACTCTGAGTGTTTAACTAATGAATCTAACCTGGGTTTGTTTGCATCTGGATTAAGTACGTACAGTACATCTACCGAACATGTGGTTTTATCAACGTGGGATGCTTCAAATTATTATAATACAGTTGAATCTCCGGAAAAATAATTGTCCAGAAATACTAATCGAATTTCAACGACTTAAAAAAAAAGTTTGAAAGAAAGGAAGTATTGGTTTCGAAAAAAAATTGACCTAAATTTTTTTAAAAATCAAATGACTCAAATATCACTGTAATGATACGGAAAATGGGTTTTTTGAAACCTTCCAAATAAGTTCATTTTCCACATTTGAGACAGTTCAATTAACTTTTCCGAGATTCTACGGTTTGGAATATACAAAAAAAAAACAACTACACATCTCAAAAGTAACTGCAGTGTTTGACAAATTAAAAAATCCGATTTGTGCCCGTCTTTGATGCAACAATCGATTATAACGATTATTACTGCCGCCACTTCAATTGAACAATAATTTTGGACAATATTAATACATATTCAGTAAATTTCGCAACCGTTCTCATTACATCTTGAATCGATGGGAATAATTCAATGAAATATTAGAACAAGATCGGAGATCCTCGCTTTGCTCCACTCTGCATGTTCATTAGTTCTTATGGTTAAATTTAGTTTATTTCACAAAAAACTGTGCTATTTGCACTACATGAAATGTATTATTAGAGCCAGCTTGAAGAGTCTCAAAAAATCCCAAGGAATAAAAAATCGGACCGATAGCTCGACATTTCATGTAGTGCTAAAAAGTCACCAAAATGCATATTCGTGATTTCAATTCAATAAACGAGACATGCCGAAATCGGTTAAAATTTCTTTTTAGTTCGTGAGTACACTAACATACATTTTCCTGCTGATTTCCTTATATTTTATTTCATTTTCTATTTTCAGCTTGTTAATTCAATCAAATCACGATTTCAAATCAAACCAAATCATAAGAAATTATTCAGTACGGTTTCAATACATGAGACCATGATTTTTTTTTCTCGTTGGTCTTTGCAAATTGATCAAGATTGTTTCGTTTGCCACAATATTGTTAAATAAATGGGACAAACGGGGTACGCGGTTATGTAAATAAATCAACAAAAGAACGCACCAATTGTATAGCATTACTAAATAGAGAGTCCAGAAAGTTAGCGAATCGAAGAAGCGAGTCCGTTCATATTACTTTTACAAAGATTGTATCATTCCCATGAATTACGACATTGGGTATCTAACCAAAAAATATCAATAAATATCCTCCATTGTTGATTCATCGATGATGGAAAGTTTTTCGGCATTTGTTCAATTAAAATGATGTTGAAAAAACCGTTTGCAGTTTAAATGTTTAATCCTATCATTTTATTAGCATTTTCAACTTTTATAACATCAATGTGATCGAATGATCAGCAAAAAGAGCGACAGAGAGACAACAGTTTGAATTAGCATGAAAATGTATTGTGACATTAGATTATAATAGAAGAATGTGAAACAATCATAATGTGACATGTACTGACTATGGCAAAAATCATTCAGATCATAATCCGATCGAAGAAACTTATGGCTTATGTATCGTCGAATCGATTTGTTTGAGAATTTCAGTGTCTGTTGAAAATATGCTGATTTCGCTGAAGCTCAATGAATTGAGGAAATATTAGCAGGATGAAAACGGGTTAGCCTTTTTTAGGTCATAAGAACTCACATGGATTCTTATAGAAAGGAGAGGCAAATAGAAAGAATTAGTACGAAAATGATTGTCGAAACACCATCACGGGACGGTCGAATAGAGAAAGAAAAAGCAATAATTTCTTTCTTGCGGAAATCTTCAGCTTGAAAGCATATGAAAATGAGAATTCAATTGATTGAATGGTGCGCACTGTGTAACGTTAACTCTATGCTTTGATTCGAAATTACTGTTTGCAAGACGCTGTCTGCGCATTATTGTTTGCGGCAACAGCATTTGGTTTGGTCTCTGTCGCTCTGTTCCAGCTTCCAATCCCAAGTTTTCTTAGTCTTAATTTACAGTCTGTGGCTGTACTGTGTTGCATGCTTTCAAGACACCGTAATAAATAATAATGAGGTGATATGCAGTTGGATACGAACCAACCCAATCATGCGGATGCTTTTTTACATGACTCTGTGAATGAAACAATGAGCTAAGTGAGTTTTCGGAACAATAGATTGCAATGTGGCGATGTACATGGAAAATTTCTTCAAAGAATCTGACGAATTCAAATTGGGTCAGTACAATTTCTTGCCTGATACAAAACCTCTTTACGTGTTTGGTGATTTTTCTTTCAAGTACGAGGCATTTGTGTGAGTGAAACAAAGTGAAGTACAGCAGTGTGACTTTATTCATTTCTTCTTCAGTTGTTTGGTTCTTCATGCTTTTTTCCTTCTTGTTGTTTTTTTTTGTTTTTATTCAGGGCCGATTCAATTATTATGATGCAGTTGTTGTTGTTTTTTCAACTTAATAACAAATAATTGTACGTATGATTTAAATTGGTCTCGTCTATTTGTTTCGCGTGTATTTTTTATGCATTTTTTATAATTCCATGGTTTTTGGAATAGTTTTGATTCAATTTATGCCGTCAATCCGATGCGTCAGTGCAATACTCACCGATCGAGAAATGGTGTTGCTGACGTTGAGTCCGTGCTCGAAACGTAGCTGTGATAGCCTTCCGATTGAGCATACGATGATTGCTTCTGATGGTGAATGTACTGAAGTCGACTATATTCTTCAAGTTCAGCTTGAGTTAATGTGGTGGCTGGGCTCACAATGTTGTCGCCCTACAAAGAAAATGGAAACAGAAAAGAAAAATTTGTCATATTGTTGTTTGTTTTCGTGTCACTACTACTACATAAATTAAAATCAACTGAATTTCGTATTTCAAACATTAGAATTTAAATAATTTATATAAGTTCATAAATTTCCAATTTGATTTTTATCCGACATTTTTTATTTAAAAAAAAATCCACTGCGTGCTGAAAATAAACAACAGTTGGTCAACATGTGCAAAAAAATGTGGAGGTTTATATATAATTGAGTGTAGAGGTGCACACTGCACACTAGCATCACTGTTTGCCAATAGATTATCACCTCGTGGCTGAACCACAGAACTATTCAATATACTGAGTCTCATTTTTATTAAATTCATTTGTTCATTGGTATTTACTGCGTTTTTTATTTCGTTTAAAGACAATGGTTTGATGTCGTAGTCAGGATTTTGGCCTCAATGAAAAAAAAATGGTTTGCATAGCACATGGCTATAGTTATATTGGGATGAAAGTGCTTAATATGATTCGAGAACAAACCAAGGAAAAAAGAAAACCGAAAAAGACATACGAAACAATAATTGATGATAATGTATATAGTGTGTTTGGTCAACGGCTTTTTTCACGCAAGCTCAATCACGTAATTTGAGAAATTTCAGTCAAATCGAAAATCTACCATGCATAGGGGTAAACGGGGCTATTTGACGCACGGCCCCGAAAAAATGGTGGTCAGAAAATTGGCCAGAAAACTTTCTGGGTGGGTCACACACCATAAGTGTTGTGTATCAAAATATTCGCATTTACAATACCTATCATGTGATGAAACAATGAGTCAGATTGCATGGCTAGGTCGGGAGATTTTAAATAGTACAGAAAAGTGCGTCGAATAGCCCCGTCCTCCCCTATATCATGTGAAGATGTAAAAAAAAATTAACGAAAAATGAACATATTTACGCAACATTAATCAGCCGCATACCAACTGTCCATATTTCATGTAGAATGATCATCGCATTTCCAACCAACTGATTGTTGGACGTTCAACCAACAAAAGTAGTAAAAGTGATTGCTAATCGATTGACGTTATTAGATACAGCGATGTTGCATGTGAGTGAGGCGGAGAAATACAATGAATAGATAGACATCTTCAGATTTTGGTCGGGTCTATTTTCAATGATTTTTTGTCTAGTATTTTCCAGATAAACGATCTCGAATCCACATTACAACGATCATTCTTTCTATTTCGCTTGCATTCGAATTTTCGATTGGTTTTATATATGTTTCGATAAGTCTTTTTGATTATTCATTTTGATAAAGGCCACAACTTCATCCAAGTGCATTTCTATGCATTAACAGTGGCCGTTCGAGTATTTACACAACAAATACCTCGATTCAGTTTAATTGTGTGATAATTTCGCACAAAAATGGTCGAAACCGTAACATTTGGTCTAGGCAATACCACTCAATACAGCACAATTGCTAGCCGCATTCTTAGATGGGGTTAGATGTCCATGTCAAATTTCAAGTATTAATTTGATTAAATTGTTCTATAACGTAGATAAAAACGAGCAATGACTGAATCATTTAATGTTAAGTTACTATTAGTAGCTCAACAACCGCTTGATGTAGACTAATAGTGCAAGAGCCAGAAGTATAGAGGGGACACTTTGATGAATTAAAATGCTCTTTGGAACAATGTGATCTGGCGTACGATTTATGCTATAGAGGCGTTCAAATGTTGCCCACCTGAGGGCAGGTTGTATGCACTGCAGGTTCAAGATTAGATTAAGTATGTAATGTATGAGATAAAGATGATTTGAGTGATTCTCAAAGTAGAGGTTTAGGGAAGAATTCCATTGAATGGAAACAAAATTCGAAATTGATTTTTTAAAGTATTTTCCTTATTCTGATTATTCAGTCAATTGGAGTTGGTTAAGAATTATGCACAATGCACATACTTTTCAGGCCTTATGATGGAAAAAACAACTTGAACAATTGAAGTTTGGTGTGATTCAATGATACAATATGAATGAGAATGACTATTAATTTAACATTTTCCTGCTTCGCCATGAAAAGTCTAAATTTTATTAATGAAGATGAAGTTATCAGATGGCCAATGAAAGGGCATATTCTAATATCTTATTTTTGATGCGACACAGTGTGTCAAATCAAATGTGTATATAGAAAGACACCGAAAGAGTATTTTGTATGTTTGCATTCTCTTTTGGTGAGATAGACTTGCCACAATTCATTTGAATATTACCATAGTGCTATTTTGCCCAATTTTAACATATAATCTATGGCAGTTACTTCCATATAAGTCACGAAAATATCCAACGCAGCAATGCAAAAACTTATTTGGAATACTTTCACTACGAATCTTTGAGAAGTTTCCGTTTTCGCCACTTATTGCATTCTTTATGCGTAAATATCCGGACAAAGTTGAAACTATGGGTCAGTAGACCTATGGCATTTAGTAAATTCACGCACTCCGATATATAGGGTCTCCCAATATAATGTCATGCACTTCTTAACAAAAGTCCAGTAAAGTTGCAACTTTTCCAAAAAATGAGAGCCAGTTCGCTAGCTTACAATTACGTTTTCTTTACAATTCATTTGCACCGAAACGAAAAATTACTGTAATCCAATGTGATTTAATAATGGAAAACGATGTATGAGTATCCACGTAGCAGTGTAGTAAGATGACGTACAAAATTCAATGGTATTCGCATAACTGATAAAGTCGGAGTTAATAATCTGCGTAGAATTTTCGACCGAAGTACACGAAGCGATTAGTTGAATAAAAATTCAACAATCGAAAGCGAAATCGAAATCGAAATCGATCGTAATGCCTACTCCGTGCAAAGCACACTTCGCGGTAATAAGTTAAGTCATGCATGACGATCTGAATATCTTTGTTAATTAAATGCTGCTCTTTGTTGCTGATTTTTTCAAGGTTTCGAAAATAAAATAGAGATCATTGCTCCGTTATTTGAGTTTGTGTCGTTGAACATGGATCATTTGTAGACTGATATAGGTATGATAGCTATATGACGAAAGTAATACATAGTATTGATCAGCTGCCAAAAATAAGAGTTGATAAAAAATACAAGTTACCAAAATTTATCTTGTTAGCAATAATTGTGCGCCAATTGCATTTCACATTCAATTTCGTTTCTCGTATTTTTTTCAATGTCCAAGACTTTTCTTTTCTTAGCTTTCCACTTATTTGCGGGTGAGTCGCATTTCTTGTTGTTGCTGTCAAATTATTGTAGCCGTGGTTAATGCTATGTTGTACATTTTGTGCTGTAACAAGTCTCCCCCGTAGTTCGTCTTCACTCAATAAAATACGATCGAGTAAAATGCGGAAATTAACGTAACTTGTGTGAAATCCAATACAGTTACAGCGTGAATAAGTGCGCCGATTTTGTGGCAATCAAATCGTATGAACGGATATATATCAATTGGTTTGTTACACAAAATGTTGCTTATCGTAATCGATAAACTCTTTTGGAATGCGCGCCGCATTGCGAATAATTTGTGCGAATTGCGCAGTAGAGTAAAAATTTGCCATCCATTTCTTTTTCTTCACTTCATACCTATATTCACTCTCACTTCTTTACGTGCTCACTTCTGAGCGCCCAACGCCATCATCAACATTATTTTTAAATCAAACCGTGCTTGTGCGTTTTCGCTAATACCATCATTTGTTCAGTCAATACAGTATGCTGTGAACGGCTGTGAATGCACAACGACCTCATTCGAAAGTGTGCTTCTTTGTCATTCGCACACACTCTCGCCAGGCGGCCAGCTGAGAGTATATCAGAGTTGCTGTGTAATGTAATTTAAGTAAATTGCATGCAATCATTTAATCAATGATTACGTATAAGAATGTATAATAACGAAATTAAGACTTCGACAAAATCATGTGTATAGATTATGAACGTTCATTGGAATGAAAGATGCAACTAAGAGAAAACAGAATATAATTTTCATTGCATTTGTTGTGGATTTACGACCAGTGAATACATTTATAGTCTTATAGTACATTGCATCAATAAACGGATATCCGCAATAGCCACAACAGCCGGCAGTAGATCAGTCACAGTTTTTTTTCATTGATTTTTTCTTTCATTGTCGTTTCATAATTTCGCAATGATACATTGACCAGAAATACTCACAATGATCGTCCAATCTCGTATCTATTCGATGGAAATGAAAGATTAGAAATTGAATGTTTCATGTGTGTGGAGAATATATATGCATGCATGCGGCGCTACTTTAATTGCACACACGAACTGAAAGTGCTTAAACGGCAACTAACCGAACGACTTTTGATGGCTAACCAAGATATTCATTGCTTCTAACTGAATAGTTGTGAAATCAGATTTTAGGTTTATTCATTTCCATGGGAAAGAAAATACGAAAAAGAAAAATTCGAGAGAGAAAATGAGGCTAAGTGCAAAAGCCAACCACATCTATCATAGATTATTATGCCACCATCATCCAAATTCCGGATCTCGAAGCCATGATCAATCTCGACCGCTCTACGCTATAATGAAGAATCTAATTGCTGGCTATTAGTGCTATCAGCTGCAGACTTTTGATTCCATCGTACTTCGTCATTTGGAAAACTAATTTGGCATGAAACTGACTAATTTCAGGATTGATTCTAAAGGTGAGATTCTTTCGAACGCTTTATCCGTTTGAACTAATTACACTGTGAATTTCATTGAACAGAAGAATGGGAAATAGAATGAAATGAGGATAAGTGTGTGTAAAAGAAAAATCTGTGCATCTTTTGACAGCAATTGATTATTATTTGGCATTAGGAGCGGCAAATCGTCCATTCGATCGAAAGATAAATCTGATATATGCCCAACACTTAGACGTTTCAACGATGAGATAAGCAATGGGGATTTTTCGCACTTGAGTGTAAAATGTTAAATATCGTAGAAAGTGGATAGCTTTGGAATGTCAGAAATGCTTTCGTGTGAGCGGATCATTTGACCTGCCGA